TGGGAATCAACCTAAATACCAAATATCTATAAATAGACACATGAAAAGATGCTCAACATCACTGATCAGGAAAATGCAAATCAAAACTACAATGAGATTTCACCTCACACTTGTCAGCTCTAAAATCAACAACCCAAGAAACAGGGGTAGCTAAGATATGGAGAAAAAGGAGCTCTTGTGAGCTGTTGGTGGGAATCCAAATGGGTACAGCCACTGTGGAAAACAGTATGGAGTTTCCTCAAAAAACCCTAGGATGCAGCAATCGCACTACTGGGTATTTACTCAAAGAGTACAAAACCACTAATTTAAAGGGATATTTGCACCCCAACATTATAGCAGCATCATCAACATTGGCCAAACTATGGAAAGACCCCAAATGTCCATCAACTGATGAATGGATAAAGATGTGGTATGTCTATGCAATGGAATGTTACTCACTCATAAAAAAGAAAATCTTGCCATTTGCAATGACATGAATGAAGCTAGAGTATGATGCTAAAAGAAGTCAAAACAAAGATAAAAACTGTATGATTTGACTCATATGTGGAATTTAAGAAACAGACAAGCAAAGGTGGGGAGGTGGGGGAGAGACAAACCAAAAAACATACCCTTAATTATGGAGAACAAATTGATGGTTAATAGAGGGGAGGAGTGTGGAGAATTTGACTAAACAGGTGATGGGATGGAGGAGTCGTGATGAGTACTGGCTGATGTGTAGCACTGTTGGGTCATTACTATGTACACCTAAAGCTAATATAACACTGTGTTAACTGGAATTAAAATAAAAACTTTAAAAAAAGAAAAAGCACTCATCAAATTGTTAAATGTCATTCTAAAAATAAATGAACATGTCAAGAAATAATATAAATGTGTATTTACTATAGAACAATGTACAAAACATATGAAGTGACAAAAACAGGGTTCCAAAGTTATAGTATGATCATAGTTTTGTAAATATGTTTACTCACATTTATATAGATAGGAGAAAATCCAGAAGGATCAACATCAAAATGGGGTTATATCATGGTAGTGATATTAGATGTATATATTTCTTTAAAAAAAATTTTTTAAGGTTTACTTTTGAGAGAGAGAGAGACAGAGTGTGAACAGGTGAGCAGTGGAGAGAGGGAGACATGGAATCTAAAGCAGGCTTCAGGCTCTAAGCTATCAGCACAGAGCCAAATGTGGGGCTCGAACTCATGAACCGTGAGATCATAACCTGAGCCAAAGTTGGATGCTTAAACAACTGAGCCGCTCAGGTGTCCCTAAATGCATATATTTCTATTCTATTTGCATTTTCTTTTTTTTTTTTCTGTGAGAATGTGTTGATTATACAGCAAATAAATGAATATCCATGTTATTTTCTTAAAGGTTGTTGAATCACTCAGGGAAGACCTGATCATTTTGAACCCAGGGCAGGGGTTGAAGGGGGGTTAAAGGGGGGGTGGAAGGTATAGAGGGAGGGAGACGAATTTCTCTAAGTGATAGGAAAGTCTTGGAAACCAGTTGGATATTCAGTTGACTCTTGAACAATGCAGAGATTAGGGATGCCAACTTTCTGCACAGTTTGAAAATCCATATACAACTTTTGACTCCTCCAAAACTTAACTACTAATACTGCTGACCAGAAGCCTCAATGACAACATAAACAGTTAATCTACATTTTGTATATATACAGTGTTTTTACAATAAAGTAAGTTGGAGAATGTTATTAAGAAAATCAGGGGCGCCTGGGTGGCTTAGTCGGTTAAGCGTCCGACTTTCGCTTAGGTCATGATCTCACGGTTCGTGGGTTCGAGCCCCGCATCGGGCTCTGTGCTGACTGCCAGCTCAGAGCCTGGAGCCTGTTTCAGTCTGTGACTCCCTCTCTCTCTGACCCTCCCCTGCTCACGCTGTCTCTCTCTCTCTCTCTCTCCTAGAAATAAATAAAACATTAAAAAAAAAAATCATAAGAGGGGCACCTGGGTGGCTCAGTAGGTTGAGCTTCTGACTCAATATTGGCTCAGGTCAAGCCCCACATCACACTCTACACTGGGCATAGAGCCTGCTTGGGATTCTCTCTCTCTCCCTCTGCCCCCTCCCTCACCCTCACACTCTCTTTCTCTCTCCAAAATAAAAAAAAAAAAAATTAAAAAGGAAAATCATGAGAAAATACCTTTATAGTACTGTGCTGTACTTATTGAAAAGAATCTGCATATAAGTGGCCCTGCGCAGTTTAAACCTGCATTGTTCAAGGGTCGGCTGCACTTGTGGAGAGCAGGGGGGAGGAGCTCAGAGTTTAATTAAGACCTTAAGGCTGCTCCGAGCGATAAGAAATGTAGGAGGAAGAGTTGTGGTGGCTAAGAAATGTAGGAGGAAGAGTTGGGGTGGTGTGAGGAGGGGTATAATTATCCCTTCCCTTGGCTTCTCAAAGTACCCTGTTTATCTCCTTGTTACACTACATTTTTAGCACCAGTGCTCTGTGACACACTTACTTATGACTGTCCTGTCTCCCCAGAGGGCCAAAACCCTGACTGATTCACCGTCTGGATCCTCAGCAAGGAGCAGATTTGAGATGGTGGCATGTCACACCCCTGCGCTCAGCAATGCTAGCAATAACTAGCATTCTGCGTGAGCGCGTCTCATATACTGGCCACTCAACTAAGAGCTTAATGTGGATTAGGCCATAGAATTCCCATTAATTCCCATTAATAATAGAATTATTAATTTCACCTTAACTGATAAACTAAGTCACAGAGAAATTAAAGGAAGGTGGCCAAAATCACACAGCAAGATCACACATCTCTTAATCATAATTTCCCTATAATCTTAGGACTCTTGCATGACATCTGAGTTTAGTGTGGCAGGAGCTTCCATCCCATCTGATAGATAAAGTGCAGAGAGGTTTTCTCCAAGGTTACATGAAGGGGACAGTAATAGAAACGAGTTTGAAGTAAGGATCAGCTATACACATGGCAACATGGATGGATCTTAAAAATAATGCTGAACGGGGGGCGCCTGGCTGGTCCAGTCAGAAGAGCATGCGAGTCTTGATCTCGGAGTCATGGGTTGGAGCCCCATGTTGGGTGTAAACAAAAAAAGCTAAAAATTTTTTTTTAAATAGTGCTAAATGAGAAAGCTAACAGATATGTATTCATAGATATATAACCATCTGTGTAAACATGCACTGCATACTACACATTTTTCAAAATGTATACAAACCAAAAATTTCCACACGAACCACATTAGGGTGGTTGCCTTAGGGCGCAGGTTAGGAGTGAGCTAGGAGGTTGCATTAGTCTGCTCCGGCAGCCATAACAGAATACCATGAACTAGCAGGCTTAAACAAAAGACATTGATTTTCTCATAGTTCTGGAGACTGGAAGTCCAATATCAAGGTGCCAGTAGAGTTGGTTTCTGGCGAGGTTGATTTCTGGTCTCCTTGGGTTGCAGAGAGCCACCTTCTCACTGTGTCCTCACATGGTCACATGGCCTCTCCTCTGGGCCTGCGCAGAGATCATAGGTGTCTCTTCATATAAGGACTCCAGACCAACTATTGGATTAAAGTCCCACCCTTATGACTCCATTTAACCTTAATTACCTTCTTAAAGGCCCTATCTCCAAATACAGTCACATTGGGGGTTAGGGCTCCGTCACATGAATTTGGAGTGGTGGGGGGTAACAATTGAGTTCACAGGGAAATAATAAATAGAACCCCAAGGAATGGAAAAAGAAAATGAGGCCGGAGCAGTAGACAGGATCCATATGAAGCAGGGCCCAATAGGAAGGAGATTAGTTGTAAAGGCTCAGAGAGGTCACTCTGTTCATAAAGGCTAACGCCAGGGTTTGTGTATCTAGCTGATTGACTCCAACGCACATGTCATCTGAAACTACTTGGAGTCCTGATAACTAAGTGGAAATGGATGTATTTCATTTTACCATGAGGAAAATGGAGCTTAGAGAGGTCAAACGACTTGCCTAAGGGTCATATAGTAGGTGGTAGAACTGAGGTTTGCGGAGTTCTTTCTGCCTCCAAAGCAAGGCTCTTTTTGCATGTTCCACAGCCTCCCAGCCTTTGGCCCTGACCAACCTCATTCACTCATTATTTTAAGCACTCATTCATCTAGTATATTATTTATCGGCACCTTCTCTGTGCCAGACCCTGTGTAAGACACCAAGGACATAGAAATGAAGAGGACATAGTCATTTCTCATGGCTGAGAAAGTTCAGCCGGTAGAAAAGATAGCCAGATAAACAAATGCGAGCACTGGAAAGGCCAGTGAAAGGGGTTAGAGTCTGGAGGAGGGAAAATGACTCCACCTGGGATAGTTGCGTAAGATTTCTTAGAGGAGGAAGAAGAGATCTTTGAATCAAACCCTTGAAGGATCAAGAAGAGCAGAAGGAACTCAACGTGGGCAGAACAAAGGATGTGGGCACTCTCCAAGGGCGAGTGAGAGATGGGGTGATGAGGCCAGATGTGGAAGGCTCTGACTACCAGGCCAGAACTCAGACTTAATTCTGAGGTCACTGGGAAGCCCCTGAAGGGGCTAGAGGAGGGAGGGGTGCCTTGGCCAGGATTCTAAAGGAAGGTATCTCTGGTAATAGTATCCAAAGACTTGAAGTCCTTTTGAGAATCAATTGTATAAGCTGGTAAGGAAGATTGATGGCCCCTCCCACCTCTAACCCTGTTATGACTTTTGGTCCACTTAGACCGTGGGAACATTATTTTTAATTTTACCCATACCAGTCAAAGCCTTCATGTCACTTACTAGAGACACCAACCTGCTTCCTTCCTCTCTGCCTACACCCCACCTCCTACCAAGGTGATGGGGCTACAGTGGGGGCTTGGGAAAGGGTGTGCAGAGAACTGAAGGGTTGAAGCTTCCCATGGTGGGGGGGGGGGGCGGCGAGAAGGGATTGCCAAAGGAATCCCGTAAGTGAGAACTCCAGGTATTCTTGGTCTTGGCTTTCCCCACCTCTCTGGCCCAGTTAGAGCATCTCAGCTTCCTACATTGCCCGCCCCCTTATTTGCCACACTCAACTTCCTGCCTCACCAGAGGAAGTGGGGAGAGACGGCAGGTGCGGCAACAGCTAGCAGGGCCATGGTGAGTCCTTATGCCCGGGAATACAGGCATCTCTGCCGTCAGCCCCCAGCCCCCAGAGTAGCCAGGCCCAGGCCAACCCACAGTAGGCTGCCTTCTCCTCGCTCCTGAAGTCAGATTATACTGGAGGGCCCTGCCTGCTGCTCCCAGCAGCCTCATACTGTCCACCCCCCACCAGCAGGACAAGGAGTATGTGGGTTTCGCCGCCCTCCCCAACCAGCTGCACCGCAAGTCCGTCAAGAAGGGCTTTGACTTCACACTCATGGTGGCAGGTCTGAGGGGTTTTGTATAGGGGGTGAGGGGGGTCCTCAAGAGACCGTGATTGTCTCCTCACCTGACCAGGAGGGTCTGTCCTGCCTACAGGGGAGTCAGGCCTGGGAAAATCCACGCTCATCAACAGCCTGTTTCTGACGAATCTCTATGAGGACCGGCAATTGCCAGAGGCCAGTGGTAAGACCCATCCCCCCCCCCCCACTCTCCCAACCCCCTCCTCTTCAGGTGCTCTGTCTGTCCGATCCCCGGCCTGCCCTCTCTTTCTTTTCATCTGGGTCTCCCATGACTTTCTGGGGAACTCAGGCAGCTTGCTGCTTTTCTGAGACTCCCCTGAAAAACGGGTGGGGCAACTGTGATTCTGAGAATGGTTATCAGTCCTGTCTCAGACCCCTACCCAGCTCCCTGACCTCTCCCTGTCCCCACAGCTCGCTTGACACAAACGCTGACCATTGAGCGCAGGGGCGTGGAGATCGAGGAGGGGGGTATAAAGGTGAAACTGACCCTGGTGGACACACCTGGCTTTGGGGACTCCGTGGATTGCTCAGACTGGTGAGGAGCAGGGGAAGGAACGGGGGCTAAGCTTCCCGATGTGGCTAATCTATGAAGACGGAGGGATCAGTTACAGGGCTGGTCTGCTCTGCCCCTGCCCTCTCCAAAAGGTGGGGCCTGTTTCTGGTGTCCATGTAGCCCAAAGTGCCCTGTGCTTCCCGGACACCTGACCTACACACTGCCCATCTCTTCTGATGTCTTTGATTGGAGCCAAAGAAACCAGTCCCTACCCTCAGTCCTGGCTAGCCTTGGCCCCTTCCCTATGCTGTGGCCTTCCCTATGCTGTGGCCCCTCATCTCTGACCGTACTCTCTCCTCCCACATCCCAGCTGGCTGCCTGTGGTGCGCTTTATTGAGGAGCAATTTGAGCAGTATCTTAGGGATGAGAGTGGCCTGAACCGGAAGAACATTCAGGATTCCCGTGTCCACTGCTGCCTCTACTTCATCTCACCCTTTGGCCGAGGGTCTGGGGGATACCCTGGGGGGTTGGGGTATTTGGGGAGGGGAGTGGGAGGGTTTCTGTGGCCTAAGATTGAACCCTGACCAATCCCTTTGTGCAGGCTCCGGCCCCTAGATGTGGCCTTTCTCCGGGCAGTGCACGAAAAGGTCAACATCATCCCAGTCATTGGCAAAGCAGATGCCCTAATGCCCAAGGAAACCCAGGCCCTCAAGCAGAGGGTATGTTTGGTGACCTCTGATCTTTGGCTCTACATGAAACCACAAGTTGTCATCAAACCTGAACTCAGGTTTAACTTCTTTGATCTTGGGGTACCTTTTTGGCTAGTTTCAGGTTAGTCTGTGGGAGAAAGTTTCTGAGAAAGATGGGTAGTAAGCTGGAGGAAGGAGCCATGTCTCTGGAGGCTCAGAATAGAATCCCTGGGCTGGATACGAGTGGCAGCAAAGCTGTGATGACTCTTGATAGCCCTCCAGCCCCAGGATAATGACCTCCACTCCAGTGACTTAAGTAATCTCTACACCCACCATGGGGCTGGAACTCACAACCCCAAGAATAAGAGTCACACGCTCCCCTGACTGAGGCAGCCAGGCACCCCTCCGACATTTTGGTTTGGGGTTTCCTGTATGTCCACCTCTCACCATCTCTGTCTTTCATGTCTTCCTCTCTGTCTCTGACCACCTGGTACCTGTATCTCACCGTCTCCCACCATGCAATATCTGCTGCTCACAGCCTCTGTGTTTCTCTCTGTGTCTGCTCCCAGATCCGGGACCAGTTGAAGGAGGAGGAGATCAACATCTACCAGTTTCCTGACTGTGACTCTGATGAGGATGAGGACTTCAAGAGGCAGGATGCAGAGATGAAGGTGCAAAGGCAAAGGAGGAAGGGGCAGAGAAGCAGGGGAGGCGGATATGGAGGTGGAGGCTGACAACGAGGTTTCTGGCAAGGAGGGGCCAACGGTGGTGATCCCTGACTCCTGCCCTCCAGGAAAGCATCCCTTTCGCAGTCGTCGGTTCCTGCGAGGTAGTGAGGGACGGCGGGACCCGTCCCGTGAGGGGGCGCCGCTACTCCTGGGGTACTGTGGAGGGTGAGTAAGGTGGGGCACGCTTTCTGAGGCCAACAGGGAGCCCAGAACGCCGCTGAGTTAACAGCACCCAACATAGGAAGTTGGGGCGATCTCTGGTCCCGCGGGTTTTAAAGTCAAAAGAGGGGTCCTTGAACTGCAGACCCTCACTCAGAGAGGGCGCAGGACTCCTGGCAGACCCGACCCGGCCAAGAAGCCCCCTGACGCTCGCCGGTCCGCCCCTTAGTGGAGAACCCACATCACTGCGATTTCCTGAACCTGCGACGGATGCTGGTGCAGACACACCTGCAGGACTTGAAGGAGGTGACCCACGATATTCTCTATGAGGGCTACAGGGCCAGCTGCCTACAGAGCCTGGCCCGGCCTGGGGCGCGTGATCGAGCCAGCCGCAGGTGAGAGCCCGAGCTCTGTCCTAGGTGCTCCCAAGGCCCCGCCCTCCCTATCCCGGACCCCGCCTTCACCATCCAGACCGCTCCCCCAGAATCTTTCCCCACCCACTTTGCTGATCGCAACGAAAGACACGGCCCCGCCTCCTAGACCCCAACCTCGCCCCACGCCCTGCTTTGCGGCTGTAACCCACAACCAAAGGTCGCGTCCCTGATTCCCTGTCCCTTTATCCCCCCGCCCTCTAGTAAGCTCTCCCGCCAGAGCGCTACAGAGATCCCGCTGCCAATGCTGCCTCTGGCCGAGACCGAGAAGTTGATCCGCGAGAAAGATGAAGAGGTGAGCAAGTACCTCGCTTCCCCCCCGACCAAGGCCCCAAGTCTTCTTCGAAGTCCCTCTCTGGCCTCGTCCGGTCCCACCGCCTGCAATCTTGCCCCTCACAGCTTCGCCGCATGCAAGAGATGCTGGAGAAGATGCAGGCCCAGATGCAACAGGGCCAGACTCAGGGCGAGCAGTCGGACGCTCTCTGAGGCCCCTGCCCGGGCCCTGCTTTACCTCGGCTCCGCCTTCAGTCCGTCTTTTGTCCAATCCCCAAGCCTCTGGCCGCCGGGCGCTTAATCCCGGAGCCCCAGCCTGAGAAGTCCGCCCGGGCACGGGGTTCGAAGGCTAACAGGTTCCTGCACACTGAGTTTGTAGCCCCGCCTTTGGCCCCGCCCCGCCCCGCCCCATGACTCCCACCTCCGCCCCTCTTCACCCAAGTTGTAACTTCAATAAAAAGTTCCCCTGAAGCCACTCGAGTCTTCGCTTTCCCAGCGGGAATAAGTAGCGGTGTAAGCGGGTGAAACCGCCCCACCTACGCCTCCGGGCCACTATTTACTCATTCATTTGTTGGACGCTGCCTTGGTGCCAGGCCGTGTTTCACCGGGGCATCCCACCTGAGTCCCTCTCCCACAAATGCACCGAAGGCGCAGCAACTAAGAAACAAAGACCAGTTGAGTTTTATTAGGAGTCGGGGTGGGGGGTCGGACTGGTAGGAGGCATTGGCCAGCAGAGGCCTAAGAGGGTCTCCTACTCCTGGTCCTTGGCGTCGCCGTGCGTGATGACGTAGCAGATGTTCTTGTAGTCTACGTTGCCTCCCACGTCGGGGGGGAACGCTGCCCACATGTTTCTGATCTGGGGAAAGATTCAAGGGCGTCTCCTACCGGTTGCGTACTCTCCCCTCCCCCTTCCCTCTGCGTCTCCCGGGCCCCTCCCCAACCCACCTCTTCCTGGGAGAAGCGGTCGCACTGCGTGGTGAGCAGCTCCTCCAGGCTGGAGAGAGGTGACATATGGGGAGTTGAGATTGGGCTTCGTGGTTCCTTTCCACTCCCTTCCACCTCATCCTTGTTTCCATTCCTAGTATCATCTTCAAAACCCAAGTCACTGTAGATCCGTCACTGGTCTCCCAGTCTGGTCTCCCTGCTTTTGCTTTTCCCCTCCCATACGTGCTATGAAAATGTACTCCTATTGCCCATTTCCATAGTCCTAATTTTTCCCTTATTCTCTCCCTTACACCTAACCCTTGGTAAGAATTTAAGGAGGCTTTCTGTGTGTGAGCAGCTGGAGAGGGTCACTTACAACTGCTTCTTGATGGTGCCCTTCCCCTCAGGGTCCAGGACCTTGAAGGCTCCGGTGATCACGTCCTCAGGGTCGGCACCTGCAGGGTCAGAGGGCATGTGAAGTGGAAGGGGCCTTGAAGGGTCTGTCCTTGAAAGATGTGGGGAGGAGCAGCTGGGGGCTTAGACCCAAGACACTTCACTCACCTTTGAGCTTCTCTCCAAACATGGTCAGGAAGACGGTGAAGTTGATGGGACCACTGGCTTCCTTCATCATGGCATCTAGCTCCTCATTCTTCACATTGAGGCGCCCTGGAGCAGGGTGGGGGAAGCTGGAGTGGGGTCCTGGGGCCAACGGTTGATCCTTCCCATAAGTTCAGATCATCCCACCCATTTTTCATCTGGGCAGACTGAGGCCGCCCAGGGTGGGGCCAGCAGGGCTGAAACCCAAGGCTTCTGAATTCCTAGGACTCCTCAGCCTTGAATCTTTATGGGTAGGATAAAGGGCTCACCCATGGCTGCGAAGGTGTCCCGGAGGTCTTCCTTGTCGATAATGCCATCACGGTTCTGGTCGATTACCGTGAAGGCCTGTGAAAGGTAGTAGCAGGGAGGGGTTAGGTCCCTTATGGCCAGGTTTCAGCATCCCTACCCCAGGCAGAGGAGATTCTGGCCCCCAGCCAGCTGTCTTCTTACATGCCAAGCAGGGAGGGGAGCAAGGAATTCTAAACCCTTCCCCTCCCCCACCCAAACAGGTGCACATTCCAGGGAGGGGCTATGGCAGGGAGAGGAGCAGCAGGGAGTGCCTTTGGTCAGCCTTCAGTCTCCCTTCTCCTCTCACCTCCTTGAACTCTTGGATCTGAGTTTGGTCAAACATGGAGAAGACATTGGAGCTTCCGCCCTCTGCAGCTGCCCTTCTCCTGGCCTTCTTGGGTGCCTGTTGGGGGGGGGGGGGTGTGAGGGATGGGCAAAGGGGTCTATGGGTCAATCCCTACTCCTCTCTGGAGACAGTGGATTAGATTCAGGGTTCTTTGGGTCATTTTTCTAAAGCAACTGTTCTGGCTCTAGGCTTGCCCTTCCTTATGACCTCTGCTGAGAGGACTTAGTTAAAGCTGTATCCCCAAATTCCTGTCCTCCATCCTACGCAACAAGTGGGACTTCTCGGCAAGTCCCTTCTTGGTGCCCTGAGCCTGCCTCCTCTGAGTCCTAGACTTGCTTTGTGACCCTAATCTACTCTGACAGTAGATTATCTGAACCTCTACTTCCTCATTTATAAAATGGGAGTTGGAATTCTTGCCTGGCTGGTCCCAGAGGGTTTTAGGAAGAGGGAGCGCAGAAAGGTACAGAACATGCTTTGAGAGGGACAGGTCTGTGAGTGGAGAGTCTGGGCAGATTATCCTTGGTTGGGTCCTTTAGGCCATCATTCTGTATGATCCCCATTAGTAATGACGAGAAAGGGAGGATTCATCTTTTTTCTCTTACTGGACTGGGAATCAGCTACTTTCTTTTAAAAAGTGAAGCTGCCCTGAGGTCTGGGGGGTCTGGGGATTCTCACTCACCATGTCTTCGGTCTCCTGGGGGCAAGGCAGTGGCTCTGGCTGGAGAGGAGCAGAGTCAGCCTGGGGCGGTCCCTCTGGGGTTATATAGTCCTGCCCCAGGGAGCCCTCAACATACCAAGGTAACCTTAGCCCTGTCGGTGCCCACCCCAGATACCAAAATAGCCCAGCTCAGGGCCTCTCCTTTCTTGGAGGGCCAAGCAGCAGCTGGAGCCCAGGGAGGGAGGAGGGAGTGGGTCTTGGGATGCATGTCTCACTAGGACCTGGGCAGGAAGGGATGTTCTTTTTCCCCAAAGGGGGCTGGAATGTGCCAGAGTTCAGAGAGGACCCAAACCGAGGGACAGTACTGGGAAATATATGAACCAGGGCCCTGTACCCCTGAGTGGGTGGGTCCAGATTTATTTACTTTTAAAACATTCCATATTTTGAAATTAATTTTTTATGGTTTTACTTATTTTTTTAAAAATATTTTTTATTTTTAAGTAATCTTTACACCCAATGTTGGGCTTGAATTTAACCCAGAGATCAAGAGTCTCATGGTCTACCGACTGAGCCAGCCAGGCACCCCTCCAGATTTAAACCCAGTAAAATTATTGAGCACTTACAGTGTGCCAGGCACTGGGCTGTGTGCTTCATGGGTTCATTTTGGTAAGCACAATCCCTCAGTCCCATTTTGGTTTTTTTAAAAGATGTTTTTATTTATTTCTGAGAGAGAGAGAGAGAGAGAGCAGGGGAGGGTCAGAGAGAGAGGGAGATGCAGAATCTGAAACAGGCTCCAAGCTCTGAGCTAGCTGTCAGCACAGAGCCCGACGTGGGGCTCGAACCCACAAACCGTGAGATCATGACCTGAGCCGAAGTCGGATGCTTCACCAACTGGGCCGCCCAGGTGCCCCTCCCCCACTCCCATTTTGGAGTTCATAGTCAAGTGTACGTATGCATGTCGGGTAGTGGCAGAGTTGAAAGGCGGGAAGCTGAAGAATCAAGAAAGTCTTCTACATCCCCTTCATGGGGGTGGGGAGGTGGTTCAAGAAAAGATGCCAAGCATGGAATGACCAGGTATAAAGACACTAGACAGAAAGCCTGCTCTGTGATCTTGGGCTTTGTGCTCCCTGGGCCTTGTTTTCCCCTTCTATAAAATGGGCAACTTGTGGATATGAACACGATTTGGAAACAGTTTAGGGAAATATAATCATTACAATTAATAGTTAGGCCCTGTCTTGGTGGACTTACAGTCTAGCTGTGGAGACAGGATAAATGTAGAGAATGACTTCACAGCTGGTTAGGAGCACAGAAGTAGAGAGCATAGCAGCCATGTCTGGAAGTATGGGGATGACTTTATGAAGGCCAGGAGATGTGGGTCAGGTGGACATGGAGGGGCAGGTATGCTAAGCAGAGAACACAGATGGGCAAAGGCCTGGAGAAGTGAAAGATCAGGTTGCCAGATTGGTAATGGGGTTTGAGCAGAGGGTGCAAGGGGCTGGAGACCAGAGACTGGAGAGTCTTCAATGCCAGGCTGAGGGTTGAGAACTTGGGAGCCTTGGAAAGGTTTGAAACAGGAAAAACATAATGGAATGTGAGTCTGTAATCATTTCTTCTTTGGATCCTATTGTGAAAGTTGGAACCAAGAGAAGGGGAGTCAAAGCACCAAGAGGGATGCTAGTTGGTCACCTCCTCCTGGGGGGCGGGGATGGCCAGTGGCCCCTTTCTCCATTCCGGGCAAGAACCAGCTTGGCTGACTGTGTGACTTTGAGGTATGTTCTCCTGGGGAAATAGTGGCCGAGGAAGCCCCAGGAGGCCATGGTTGGCAAGGACACCCATCTCCTTCTTCTCCTGCTCCCTCTAGGACCCAGTGTCCTGAGGAAGATGCCTCCTCCCTTCTCCCTCCTCCAGCCTCATGCCAATGCCTCTAAGACATTTTCTTTTCTGGGCACTGGGGCCCAGCCACCTGTTGTCTCTAAGAAGAGAGAAGGAGCCACCCTAAACTTAGCAGCTGCCCTTGGCCTCCTGCACGGGCCCCTCCCTGCCTCAATCGACAGCTGCCTCACCTTATAAGGTTACCATGGGGGTCTAGGCCCAGGGAGGAACCTTATTCTTGGATTCTGGGAGGGGTGGAAAACTCCAAAGAGGGGAAGAGGATAAAGTGCTCAGGTAGCTTGGGTCAAATGAAAAGTGGGGAAGTCGAGGAGGAGATCAGGAGCTGTATGTCTAACTCACACACTGAGTGAGAATACACAGGATCTCAGTCTGAGCTGGGAGTGAGTAGCCTAAGAGAACTCAGAAACCAAGGAGGACCTGGGCATTGGGAGCGAGGCCTGACTGAAATTTCAGGATGGTGGACTCTTGTATGGAAATTGGGGCTTTCTAACTCGGAGGCTCAGAAGAATGGGGGTCAGGGAGAGGAGAGGCTCTTAAAGTCAGGGCTTTGTGTTTGTGGTCTAGGGTAGCTCAGGGGGGACTCAGGAGATTGGGGTCTGGTTTCTTAGAAAATGAGGAGTACAGAGAGGTGTGGCAGTGAGGGTCCTGGATCCCCAAAATAATAAGAACACAGATATGGGAGTTCCTGTTACTGAGAATTCATAGTTTGGGGTCTAGGATGCCCACTAGAATGGGAGGGGTACACAGAGGATGAGGTCCAAGGAGTTAGAGCCTAGATTTTGGGGAGGAGCTCGGATAGATGGGGAGCTGATGAGAGGGACTTAGGGCTTGGGATTTTCATAGGAAATGGAGGATCCAGAGAAATGGGTCGTTTAGAGGATTTTGGAGCTCTGGGCGTTGAGTGTTGAAGTTGGTTGTGAGACCGAGATGAGAATTAGAGACGGAGTGGAGGTTGAGAGTACTTGATCAAGGCATTGGATCTGTGGTGGGATCTCACAGACCACGAGAGTGAGGTGGCTCTGGAGCTGGATGGAGAATGGGAGCCTAGGAGAAGCTTGGCTGGCTCAGTTGGTAAAGCATGCGACTCTTGATCTCAGGGTCGTGGGTTCAAGCCCCACGTTGGGTGTGGAGCCTTCTTAAAAAAGAGAGAGAGAGACAGGCAGAATGGGAGCCCAGAAAGGACTCAAGCAAAGCAGCGCCGCACTTTTATTGGCTAAGGGCTGCATTAATGTCCCTGGCTCCCGCCCCCTCACAGCGCTATCCCCAACTGTCACCCCACTTCTGCGCTTGTCTCTGGTTGTCACCGATATCCCGGGGCTGGCACCGCCTGCTGGCAGCACCCCTACCCTTTGGATGCTTCCATTGGCTGAGACAGCCGTCTATCTTCCTCCCCAGTTGCTTAAGCGAGGAAAGGCGTTCATTGGCTGACAATGCAAATTAATCGCAAATTTGTCCCGCCCTCCCCAGCTGTCATTCCTTCGTGACCTTCTTGGGAGACTTTAAGAATTCCTCAGCGATTCCTATTGACTGCGGATGCTGTCTGTCACTGCCCAAATAGACACCACTGTCTGTCAAGTTGCCCTCCACCTACTCACCCTTTTCATTGGCTCCCATTTTACTATTCCTACTGGCCAGGCTCGCACAGCACCCTCCTCCTTCCGCGGTCATTCGCTCTGTAGCCATTTTTATTGGGCAGGGACTTCAGCCTCCCGTTTTTCTATTAGGTACTTCTTTCGTTCCACCTCCTCCTGCCTTCACTCCCCCCTTTCATTGGTCGTCTTATAGCCCTCCGCCTGCTCCATTTCCTCTTTCCAAATTACCCAGCCCCTTCCCACCTCCAACCCCACCCACCCTTCCAACGATTGGCAGAAACCCAGTTCCCTCTCTCCTATTATTCGCTCAAACACTCTGAAGAGGCGGGAGAAAAAAAAGGAGCGCGACGAGCCTGTCTCCGCGCAGGCGTGAAAGGCCGAAACGCTGGCCGCTTTGCCGGCACTGGGGCGTGTGCGCAGGCGCGAGGTCGGCCGCTAGCCCGAAGCTGGAGGGAGGGGGCGGCGGCGAGAGAGCGCCAGGGGTGAGAGGGCGCGAGCGAGACCCCAGCGCCTGGCACCCCAGGACCCTTGCCACGCCTCCGCGCGCCCGGCGGCGGCCCGCGCGCCACCCTCATCTGCGACGCGCTCCGGGCCGCGCCCTTAGTCTTCTCCTCTTCCTTGGCGGGCGGCGCGGAGCGGCCTGAGGGGCGGCGCCTTCTGCGGCCGCCCCGGCGGGGGGATGTGAGGGGTGGCTCGCGGCCATGGAGACGGGCCCGGCGCCCTTAGTGGCCCCGCCGCGCCGTCATGGCGCCCCCGCGGCCCCCTCGCCGCCGCCCCGCGGCTCCCGGGCCGGGCCCGTCGTGGTGGTGGCTCCGGGGCCGCCAGTGACCACGGCCACTTCGGCCCCGGTCACCCTGGTGGCCCCCGGGGAGGCGAAGCCCGCCTGGGTCCCGGGGCCCACCCAGACCTCGGCCCCGGCCTCGGCTGTCACGGGCAGCACCGTGGTGGTACTGACTCTGGAGGCCTCACCCGAAGCCCCGAGGGCGCAGGTCTCCGCTGACCCAGACCCCCTGGTGCCCGCGGCAGTGGCAGGAACCGAGATGTCCATGGCTTTGGGCCCAGGAACAGATTCTCCGAAGACGGAGGAGGCTAGAACCTCACCCCCCCCTGGACCAGGTACCCCCACCAGGACCCCTTCCAGAACAGCTCCTGGGGCTCTGACCGCCAAACCCCCGCTTGCCCCCAAGCCGGGAACCACAGTTGCCTCAGGAGTGACCGCGCGGGTTGCAGCAATGACATCAGGACAGGTGACAGATGGACATGAAGCTGCAGCAGCAACATCAGCATCAACCGCACAGGCTCCAGAGGACCCCTCGGGGTCTGGCACAGGCCCTTCAGGGACATGTGAGGCTCTGGTAACTGTCGTGACGGTCACCCCAGCTCCGGAGCCTGCTGAAAACTCTCAGGACCTAGGCTCCACGTCCAGCCTGGGACCTGGCATCTCTGGGCCTCGAGGGCAGGCCCCGGACACTCTGAGCTACTTGGACTCTGTAAGCCTCATGTCTGGGACCTTGGAGTCCCTGGCAGATGATGTGAGCTCCATGGGTTCAGACTCGGAGATAAATGGGCTGGCCCTGCGCAAGACGGACAAGTATGGCTTCCTTGGGGGCAGCCAGTATTCGGGCAGTCTGTGAGTACCCAGTGGGCACCCAGTGGGGCTTCAGGGAAGCAGAGGTTGGGGAGGAGGAAATGACACACCTTGCCCAGATCCTGGCAGTTCATCCTCCTCTGAGGCTCCAGGGGAGTGGCTCCAGCAGGAGTGAGACACTTGCTGATCCCTGTCAGGCCTAGAGCATCCTGAGGTTTTGGTGGCACTTGCATGTTACTCTAACCAGGTGCAGACCAGGTGTCAGGAGTTCTGGGTTTGAGCTTTGCTCTTAGTGTGTTGTGTGCCCTTGCTCTAGTGTTTTCCCTATTTCCGTGTCAGTTTCCTTCTCTACACAGTGAAAGGTTGAATGAGGTGATAGTAAGGTCGTCCCAGCTCCTTAATGTGAAAAACTTCAACTGTGGGCCAGATGTTCTGGAAGGTTGGCTGGGAGGGATTCTGGTAGAGATATTTGGTCCCTGAAGGAGGAGTCTGGGAGGGAGACAGTCATCTTCCTTCCCCTATAGCCCTAGGTCTGATGGGGTGATGACCTGGGGGGGGGGGGGGGGGGGGGGGGGGGGGGGGGGGGGGGGCTGGTCAATGGAGGAGAGACCCTGCAGGTGAGGCTCCTTTGCAAAACAGAGAAGGGCAGTCTTGTGTTTTTACTGAAGGAAGGGGTTGGGGGAGGCCTCTTCCCCATTTCCTCATCTCCCCAGCCGGGCTTACTCTTTCCTAGTTCCCTCCAGGGGCCTGAGTCACTCCTGATGTGGGGGTGTGATTGCCTCTGACTTCTTCCTTCCCTCTCTCTGGGAAGGATCCTGTCCATTGTTCCTGTACCCCTTTAACCTGCTGGTCAGTTCAACCTGCAGCATCACCTGAGCACCCAAGTGCCAGACCCTGTGCTGGGTACTAGGGATAAAGTAGTTGTTTCAAGGTGCTTGTCATCTAGAGGGAGAAACAAACACTTAACCAGTTGGTTTCCATATATGTTAGGTTTAGCCTAGAGATCAGCACAGGATTTTGTGAGTACCCAGGGAGGGGATCTTTTGCCCGCTTAGAATTCAACTGAGTCTGGTCCAAAACCTGAAGAATGAGTAGGGTTTTGTCTAATAGTGTATGTGTGTGTTGGGGTGGGGGCGCCTGCCTGGGGTTGGGGGAAGCACTATGGGAAGGTAGTCTAGGTGTTTTATAATCCAACAAAAGACAGAAAACCTTTGATTGAGCACCAACGTTCATGGTCCTAGGAAGGCAACTGAAGTTTGACCTTGGTGTTTTCCCATGCCAGAAGGTTGCATTTTTGTACCCAACGTATAGGCGAAGAAACAGGATTAGAGCAGCTGAATGAATTGCCACACTCCACATGTATCTGTGCCACCAGTGGCTTCCTCTCAATACTCTGCTGTCTCCAAGGAACTTGGATTGAATTGGATTTCAGGGAGCCCCTCTTGTGTGCCAGGCACTGTGGTCGATGCTGTTTCTCTGTTTTGTAATTTTGTCCCTCTAAAATCTGTCTTCCATGCTGGAAGAATATACTTCTGAGGCAAGGCTGACTGGGGCCCATGTTACCTTAAAAGCTTATAGTAGCTCCCCACTGGCCACCGGATAAAGTCCCACGTGCTTTATTTTGCACATAGACTCATTATCTGGCTTTGCTGGCCTTTCTGGTCTTCTGTCCCACCATTCCTCATCATGCACTTAGTTCTGTGGTCCTGTTGAACTGATTGTAGTCTCTCTTCCTTCATACTCCGGTTGTTCCACCTGCCAGGAATGCCTTTCTCCTCCTCCTGTCTTGGTATGTTCTACTCAGTCCTTCCTGGCTTATAATGCAGATGTCTCCTCCTCCAGGAAGCCTTTCCTGATATCCACTGCCCCTACTCCAGTCTGTGCCTCTCCTGTGCATTTTTGGTATTGCATTTCCCACACCACATTGCAGTCCTCTCCCTTGCAAGCTTGTGACCTTCTTGATGGCAGGAAAGGGATTATCTTATTCTTCCTGATCCTTAGAGTTTGAAAGTGACTTATGGTAGAAATTAATGAACAGTGATGGGTCGCCTGGGTTGCTTGGTCAGTTAAGCGTCTGACTTTAGCTCAGGCCATGCTCTTGCAGTTTGTGAGTTCGAGCCCCATGTCGGGCCCTGTGCTGACAGCTTGGAGCCGGGAGCCTGCTTCAGATTCTCTGTCCCTCTCTCTCTCTGCCCCTCCCCTGCTAACTCTCTGTCTCTCTCTCTCAAAAATAAAATAATAAATATTTTTATGGGCGCCTGGGTGGCTCATTTGGTTAAGCGTCCAACTTTGGCTTGGGTCATGATCTCGCAGTCCTTGGGTTTGAGTCCTGATTTAGGCTCGGTGCTGACAGCTCAGAGTCTGAAGCCTGCTTTGTATTCTGTGTCTCCCTCTCTCTTTGCTTCTCCCTTACCTGTGCTCTGACTCTCTATCCCAAAGATAAATAAACGTTAAAAAAAACTAATGAGCAATGATTAAGTGGTTCTAAGACAAAAGAAGCTAATAGTTAATGAGCCCATCCATTTGCCAGTCCTTTATATGCAGTTTCTCAGTAGTCCTCTCATACCTTTGTGATGTAGGTGGTGGCATCCCTTTTTAACAGATGAGAAAGAGATTCAGGTTATCACTTGCCAAGATCCCTCCATTTCTAATGGACAGAACTGGAATTTGAGTTCAGGTCTGTCTGGAAATTCAATCTCATTCTTCCATTCATTTCCCGGTACTGGTTCCTACACTTTTCAAGACTCTTGGGGTATCTTGAGTGTGAAGGTGCGACGGAACAATGGGCAAACAGTACAAGGAAAACTTCATTTGCTTGGGAATCTAGGGTGACTTCAGGGAAGAGGAGGTAGAGGGAATTGCAGGTGGCTCAGGGGATCTCAAGAGTCTGATAGGAGGAAACTCAGTTGTTTCTAAGGAGGCAGAGAAGTATATTTTTATTTGTTTTGTATTTTTTTTAATAGCAAGTGCTATTTGTTATATAATCTCTCAAGTAGATACTATTTTCTCTCCATCTTACAAATGAGGAAATTGAAGCTGAGAGGAATTTTATGACTTGCACAAGGTCACACAATGAATAAGTGGTAAAGTTAGAACTTGGACCCAGGTCTAATGCAGAATATGGCTTTTAAATATTCTGTACCCTCTCCCCAAACTTGTAAGCGCCATAAGCAGGATTTGAACACACCCAACATGTATAGAGGTTGAACATGAGAACACCATCTCTGTGGCAGAGATTCCTTCCAAGGGGAAGATGTCCTTTCAGTGTGGTGAACTAGGCCCTTTGATGCCTAAGTGGCCAGATATCCTGATATTTGGTAGCTCACAAAATGCTTTTACAGCCAGTCTCTCATTTGAGCCTGGGGAGGTGGATTCTGTCAGTAATCCATGTTTTATACTACTGCTACTGACCCCTTCCATGCTC